TAGACTGGTGCAAAACAGAGACGAGAGCTGACTACAACGCGAACCGATAAGGTAACTTTTATTAAAAAAAAAAGACGAATGTAGCATGCTTGATGCAGCAAAATGTTTTTAATTGCCGGGCGAAATACGAGTAGTGACATGCTTGGATGTGCGAGTCGGAGAGCTCAACTGCGTCAGGGCTGCTGTTGTCTTCTCGTCCACATCGGTGTGGCTTTTCTTTCTTTTTCTGTCTCACTCTATCTCTCCACTCTTCGCACAGCCACCAAAATTCTCCTCAGATGAGCCCTCAGACCTCCACTTTGTTCATCCGACCCATCACCCTCGCACACTTGCGAGTTTGTTCTCCGCTTCAGCCACCCAGTATGCCAACAAGTCGGCAAGACTCAACTTTTTCTGCGCATTTTATGTTAACCTGCTGGTTATTATGTTCTTGTCTGGTCTCCACTTTACCCTTCCTACTCGTCGGGTTGCTAGTTGAACCCCATCCCGCTTCAAAATAATGCATCAGACTTCATTACTTTTCAGCCCACGTCTCAACAATCTTTACAAGAATTGACTTTTAGGAATCTCGATCATTCTCAAATCACCACAACGTATCACCCCGCATATCATCTCATCTCATTTCTTCTCTCTTTTAACCATCGCCAGTGAATTCTTTTCATATTACATATTTTTTTGCTCACCTCTCTTCATGGTGATTTGCTACAATGCAATTAAATTTCTGATGATTCTGTTTTTTTATTGCAATATTGTTCCCTTCAACTCATTTGACAATATTTGTAATATCTACAATGTGACAATAAAAAGTACATTTGTGGTTAGTCCCTTTGCTCAACCTATTGACCATTCCATGAGTTCTTATTTCTGCAATAGTCAAATACAGTAGGCATTGACTTAATTCATTCGGACGAATGAAGATTTAAAGCGAATTGAGCCACCTGCCCTATTCTGAAATTAGGATTCTCAAAATTCTTTGTCATCTCAGGACCAATTTAGTTTTTGCCACTTTTTTGCTTAACAGTGCTTTGTCCGTCAGCACAAGTAGTCGGGTTAGATGCATTTATTTCATTTGTGTAGTCATCATTTGCAAATTTGTACGAGCCTGACAGAAAATGGTTTCATTTGCTGTTTGAGACTGCAGCCCCAAAGAGATACATGTGAATAGGAGGATGAAAAGCGGTGATTTGATGGTACATATTTTTGCTAGCTAAACTATGAATGCTTAGACTCCTATTACCGGATTGAAATAAGTTTTGTGTAAAAATGTCTAATGAAGACGAGAGTTGATTAGCATTGTCCAGTATTCGTTCGATTTTATCACAACGTTCAGATTGACGCAGTCCACAATATCTTCTCCCACGACTCTGATGAACAGGGTGTGAGTTTTCGTTGGTCATGCCACATGAAAGGTATCTCCAGCTCTGGAGCTCATTGCAGACATATAAATCAAACGGCAGCATTTTGATCAAGTGTTTCACTTTTCTCTCTGCCATATGGAATAACCACAGAAAGTGCCACGGAATCTTTGAAAACCGTCTTTATGCTCTGCCGTCTCACTAATTTGCCTACAGACTTATGCCTCATCATCTCAGACAGGCTATCCCAGTTCAGCTTCTGTTCGGGCCATTTAAACCTCTTTCGTAATTACTCTTGACTGGTACCGCTATTTGGTATTTTGACCCGCACGCATTCTAGATCACCATGAAAGCGTACTGATGCAATCATTTTATACTCATTTGGTTGTGAGGCTCTTGCAGCTCTCACGATTTCCAACATGTAGTCAATGTGGAGTGGTTAAAACCGAATTAATGTGACTTTGCACTTTTCTCGCATCCGCAGTTGAACTCGTATACATCACCCATGGCCGCCCAGCAACGAGCCATGCTTGCCGACCTGTTGTTGAACAGCTCGGCCAAACTGAAATCACCAGGTACCTTCGATGTGCCCAGTTCGCCCGGCGGTCTTGGCCTCGGCCTAGTGACTGCGGCGACCAGCGCCGGTTGCTGCGTGAGTGGTGCCGGTAGCCGAGGTGGCAGCAGCAGTGGCAACAGTAGCAGCAGTAGCAGCAGCAGCAGCAGTAGTAGCAGCAGTAGCTGTAAACTGGAGCTGGCCGGGCCAAACGGCAGTCTGAGATCGCGCACCAACAGCCCCCTCTCCGGTCTGCCAGCCCCGGGACCGGCATCCACGGCCAGCCTCCTTTCGGCCGGGTTCGGACTGTCTCTGCTTCCGCCGGCCGGTGGCCAGAACGGCGCCGGCGTGCCCAACGCCCACGGGTTGCCCAGCGCCGCCGGATTGGGCTTCGGACCGACCGGTTCTCTGGCCGACGCATTCGCCTTTCCCAGCCTGTCTGCAGCCGCGGCGATGGCGGCTGCGGCCGCGGCCGCCGCGGCAGCCGGTACCGGCAACCGCGTGGGACTCCACGACGCGGAATCGCGCGGCGGCTCGCCCGGAGACGGCTCGTCTGAGAGACCGGTCGGCGACGACCGCCTCGGAGGCAGAGGCGGCGCCAAATGGCACGGCGGCCTCAACATGCACAATAACAACAACAACAACAACAACAAAAACAACACCATCACCAACACCAGTGGCTCGGGCTTACCGAACTCGGAGTTGGCGGGGCCGGCAAGTTCAGGCCCGCCGCAGACCAACGGCTTCGGCTGCCAGCTCAGCCCGACTTCATTGGCCTGCTCCGGCGGCCCGCCGCCCCCCGCCTCGCCGTTCAACGCAGCCTGGTTGGCCAGCCTGGCCGCCTCTGGCGGCCTCTCGAACCCCCCCGCCGGTCTGCTCTGTCCCGCCGCCATGCTGAGCGTTTTGAGCGGCGGACTCGGACACAGACCCACCAGCGAGTCGCCCGGCCTCCATCTCTCGGCTCTTCACTCCGCCGGCCTCACCTCGCTCGCCAATCCCACGCCCTCCACGTCCCCCAGCCTCCCTTGCTCATCTTCTTCTTCGTCCTCCTCCTCCTCCTCCTCCACAATCTGTGCTTCTTCCTCTTCTTCATCTTCTTCTTCTTCTTCTTCTTCTTCCTCCTCCTCCTCTTTGTCCTCGTCCTTGTCTTCTTCTTCTTCTTCTTCTGCTTCGGTTTCTTCAATCGCATGTACCACTTCTTCTCCTTCTACCGCCTCGCTGCTGCCCTTCTCGGCGCACGTCTCGCCCACCGGCAGCGTCGCCTCTTCCACATCTTCGGCCTCGGACGTGCCCGCCTGCTTTGCTTCCTCCAACGTATCCGGTCGAGATGGTCTGGCCAGGCAGACGAGCCTCCTCGCCGGACAAACCATCGCCTCCACCGTCTACAATTCACCAGCCTCCAGCCTGTCTGGCCAACAACAGCAGCACGGCTCGTTGTCCACGCCACTCGGCCATCATCACACTCCTCCTCCTCCTCCCCCTCCTCATCACCATAACAACAATAATCCTCATCATCATCAGCATCAGCAGCAGCAGACCTTGCTACAAGCCTTGTCAGCAGTCACTTCGGCCGGACTGCCTGGCACCTGCGGACCCGCCGGATCGGCGGGAGGAGGGCC